GGGGCCAGTGCCGTCCCTGCCCCTGCCCTGAGGGTCCCGGGAGCCAGCGGCACTTCGCTACTTCTTGCCACCGGGACGGGTATTCCCAGCAGATCACGTGCCACTGCCGGGCAGGCTACACAGGTGAGTGGGAGGAGGCGGGCAGGGACGGGGAGGTGGTAGGGTGAGCACTCACAGCTTCCCCCGACTGTGCAGGGCTGCGGTGTGAAGCATGTGCCCCTGGGCACTTTGGGGACCCATCCAGGCCAGGTGGCCGGTGCCAACCCTGTGAGTGCAGTGGGAACATTGACCCCACTGACCCTGATGCCTGCGACCCCCGCACGGGACAGTGCCTACGCTGTTTACACCACACGGAGGGGCCTCGCTGTGCCCACTGCAAGCCTGGCTTCCATGGGCAAGCTGCCCGACAGAGCTGTCACCGTGAGTACGGTACATGAGGAGTGGCTATTGGGGCTCTGGCTTGGGCTCCCTTTGACTGGTGTGCTCATTTTGGCTGGCACAGGCTGCACCTGCAACCTGCTGGGTACAGATCCCCAGCAGTGCCCATCTGCCGATCGATGCCACTGTGACCCAACCAGTGGGCAGTGCCCGTGCCTCCCCAACGTCCAGGGCCCTAGCTGTGACCGCTGTGCTCCCAACTTCTGGAACCTCACCAGTGGCCGCGGCTGCCAGCCTTGTGCCTGCCATCCTACCCGGGCCCGAGGACCCTCCTGCAATGAGGTATGGGACCCCCTGTAGATCCCTGGGTAGATGGGACAGCTGTCTGCCTCGTCTGGAGGCCTCAGCCTGACAGAGGTTCTGCCCCTGCCTCTGTTCCCATCCTAGTTCACAGGGCAGTGCCAATGCCGTGCTGGCTTCGGTGGACGGACCTGTTCTGAGTGCCAAGAGCTTCACTGGGGAGACCCTGGGCTGCAGTGCCGCGGTGAGGGAGCCAAGGGAGCCAAGGGGGCCAGGGTGGAAGAGGATGCCCCAGGATGCCCTCAAAGGGCCCTAATTCTGGTCTGCCCTTTCCTATAGCCTGTGATTGCGACCCTCGTGGAATAGACACGCCTCAGTGTCACCGCTCCACGGGCCACTGCAGCTGCCGCCCGGGTGTGTCTGGCGTGCGCTGTGACCAGTGTGCCAGTGGCTTCTCGGGTGTCTTTCCTGCCTGCCATCCCTGCCATGCGTGCTTTGGGGACTGGGACCGCGTGGTACAGGACTTGGCCGCCCGAACACGGCGCCTGGAGCAGTGGGCGCAGGAGCTACAGCAGACGGGTGTGCTGGGTGCCTTTGAGAGCAGCTTCCGGGATCTGCAGGAGAAACTGGGCATCGTGCAGGGCATTGTGGGAGCCCGCAACACCTCGGCTGCCTCTACTGCACAGCTCGTGGGGGCCACAGAGGAGCTGCGGTGCGGATGGGCCTGTGGATACCTGGTGGGATGGGGTGGAGACCTGTAGTGGACCGGGGATAGCACCTCTCTAAACACCGACCCCCACCTTGGCATAGGCGTGAAATTGGGAAGGCCACTGAGCACCTGACTCAGCTGGAGGCCAAGCTGACTGAGGTGCAGGATGAGAACTTCAATGCCAACCACGCGCTAAGTGGCCTGGAGCGAGACGGGCTTGCGCTGAACCTCACGCTGCGGCAGCTCGACCAGCACCTGGATCTGCTCAAGCATTCAAACTTCCTGGGTGAGTCACTGGCCAGCTGGGCAGGTGGGCCAGGGTTGATTTTCAGCTGACTCTCTGCCTCTGCCCAACTTAGGTGCCTACGACAGCATCCGCCATGCCCACGGCCAGTCTGCAGAGGCAGAACGTCGAGCTAATGCCTCAGCCCTGGCGGTGCCCAGCCCTATAAGCAACTCTGCAGGCATACGGCGTCAGACAGAATCACTGATGGATGCCCAGAGGCAGGAATTCAACCGCAAACACCTGGCCAACCAGCGTGCACTGGGCGAGCTCTCTGCCCGCACCCACACTCTCAGCCTGACAGGCATAAATGAACTGGTGAGGTGCAAGTGTGGGGCGGGGCAGGTCTGATGCTCCTCCACAGAGCCCTGACTTGTCTTGTGCCCGGCAGGTGTGCGGGGCGCCAGGGGATGCACCCTGTGGCACGAGCCCTTGTGGGGGTGCTGGCTGTCGCGACGAGGATGGGCAGCCCCGCTGTGGGGGCCTCGGTTGCAGTGGGGCAGCAGCTACAGCTGACCTGGCATTGGGCCGGGCCCGGCACACACAGGCAGAGCTGCACCGGGCGCTGGCAGAAGGTGGCGGCATTCTGAGCCGCGTGGCTGAGACTCGTCGGCAGGCTGGTGAGGCCCAACAGCGGGCTCAGGCAGCCCTGGACAAGGCCAACGCTTCCAGAGGGCAGGTGGAGCAGGCTAACCAAGAGCTTCGAGAACTCATCCAGAGTGTGAAGGACTTCCTCAGCCGTGAGCCTCCCATGTGGCCCAGGCCATGGGGTTGTTCCCCGTGTCTGTGTCTCTCTGTGTTTATACTTGGACCTCAGGACCTGTGTGGATGTCCCCATGTCCAGTCTCTGAATCCTCACCCATATATGGGTTCCAAGTCCGCGTCTCTGAGTCTGTGCCCCTTTTGTAGTCCCTGTCCGTGTGGTTCCATCCCTTATGTCTATTAGCACACCCCTATCCCATGTGTGGTCCCTGAGTGCTCGTCCCAAGATTGGGTCTCCATGGCCATGCTGAAGAATCTGTCCTTAAGCCCTTGCCTGTGTCCCCGTAGAGGAGGGGGCTGACCCCGACAGCATTGAGATGGTGGCCACGCGGGTGCTAGAGCTCTCCATCCCAGCCTCACCTGAGCAGATCCAGCACCTGGCAGGTGCGATCGCAGAGCGGGTCCGGAGCCTGGCGGACGTGGATGCAATCCTGGCGCGGACTATGGGAGACGTGCGCCAAGCTGAGCAGCTACTACAGGATGCACAGCGAGCACGGTCTGACCCTGGCCCCGGCCCTGGCCCCGGCCCTGGCCCGTGGTCCTGAAACCTGCAGGCCCTGATTCCCCCTTCTCCCCAGGAGCCGGGCTGAGGGTGAGAAACAAAAGGCAGAGATGGTACAGGCGGCACTGGAGGAGGCCCAGCGGGCACAGGGCGCTGCCCAGGGTGCCATCCGGGGGGCAGTGGTCGATACGCGGGACACGGAGCAGACCCTACGCCAGGTGTGGCCTCCCTAGGGCATCAACAGGGCAAGGTTGTGGGCATGCCTCGTATATCTGTTTAACCCCGGGCCCACGCGTGGCAGGTACAGGAGAGGGTGGCTGGGGCCGAGCAGGCCCTGAGCTCTGCAGATGACAGAGCTCGGCAACTGGATCACCTCCTGGAGGCTCTAAAACGGAAGCGGGCGGGAAATAGCCTGGCAGCCTCTACAGCTGAAGAAACGGCGGGCAGTGCCCACAGTCGTGCCCAAGAGGCTGAGCAGGTGGGTTGAGGAGGTAGAAGGTAGAAATGGGAGGCTCCACCTTCCCTGGATACACCGCTGACCCTGTCTCTGGCCTCCACTGGCACAGCTGCTGCAGGGCCCACTGAGCGACCAGTACCAGAAGGTGAGAGCTCTAGCTGAGCTCAAGGCCCAGGGCGTGCTGGCTGCGCAGACAAGGGCAGAGCAGCTGCGGGACGAGGCGCGGGGCCTGCTGCAGGCCGCTCAGGACAA